GCGTGGAACAACAGCATTTGCATCTGTGTCCGTGTAAGCATGGAACCTGCATACCTGCAGAAATGCTGCTGTTCCTTTTTTCACAAAATTCAGCTCCACAATAACAAGCTTCAACGACGACGTATTGATGCTGATGTTCTCTTTTAGTTTGCTGGTTTAATTCTTCAACTGGGCAATCCAGTGTCTCTTACACAAAAAATCCACAGACCGGTCTTTTTATTTCATAGCGTTTCCTTCATCACTATAGCACTATAGCGTCAGCAGAAATTGTAAAGATCACATACCAATTATTTTTGTCTAGATAGTTTGCTGGATCGAAGCCTGAATGTGTGCAAAGATGATATAAGCAGGACGATGGATTTTTTTTTGGTCGTGAGACATAATTTCCAAAGTGATCGGTGCTGTTGCTGTTCGGTGTGATGGGATCTTTGTTTGTATGTTTATACAAGTTGCACCAACAAATTAGTACTGGATACCGTCTTTGTTTGAATGGTGCTGTGTACCTCTCCTTTTCTTTACAAGAAGAGAAAAAAAACACCGGCTGGCATAGAACATATTCATACGAGTTCGTATGTACGTGCAATGGCGCTGTTAATATCAGAAAACGCCGGTTTTGACCAGCAATTGGAATGACCACTGAGGAGTTGTGTAAAACGTGTGTTGTATATTCGTGCGTCAAAGTTTTATATGTGTTCGAGTGCTGTGGGTACGACTGCCGCCTTAGTTTTCTCATTTTGATATGATAAACACGCGTGGCCAACACTCTGTATATATTACATCGTTGCAGGCGTGAAGATCTGCTAATCGTCATCCAGAGAAATTGTTGTACGCAAACATTCGTGAGAAGCACATGGTGTCAGTGATATCAGTAAAAGTGTATGCTGAGTTGTCAGAGATGCTTGTACGATCGATGGCTGGGAGCGTTCGTGATATTCATGATTTTTAGAGCTGTGCTGTTCTTTTTCAGCAGCACAGTCACCCAAAGACAGCATGATCATGGTTCACCGTCATATTCATATGTATACGCTGATAATCAAGCCAAGTTATAAAAAAGAGATCCTTCTGTTTTTATTTCTTTTACTAGTGCCCTCACACAATCCGTCGTATCAGCAATCCGACAAAAGAACTGCCATCCACAGCACATCTTCTAACCCGCTCAAAACATTATGCTTTCTTTTCAAAATTGATCGTCTTTATTTAAGAATTATATCCTTCTAGTCCAACACTGTTGCCTTCAACAAACAAAGACCGGCACTCTGAATTATATCTCCACATCACTCATCCACCACAAGCATGCCCAACACAACATATCCTGCCCAGCAATCACTTTTGACCACTTACCTGGATCCTCACACGTAACAATGATACAAAAACGTAGTATCTTCATTACAAACCACCGCCGCAAGTTAGAATATGGCTCAAGCTCATCCAGCAATACACATAGAGTACCTTATCACACCAACAGCATCTCGATATGGCTATATGGTCAACGACCTTGCACTTGTTCCATAAACAAACATAATAACCTGCCCATCCAAATTCCTCTGCCACCATCGCCAATACCCACAATGCCTGCCGTCAACGATCGCGCGTGTACATGCACTTGTTCATCCTATCAATCATTCTTGCTTTTTAATAAAACAATCCACAAGTGCTGACCAGCTAATATAAAGGAAGATCTTAAATTAGAAAAACTTACCATGTGGATCATAACCTCGGCAAACGCATGTGTCCGAACAAAAGCAAAGTTCATCCATGGAGAGCAACAGCAACCAACACAGTCTCGAGGCTTGATCTTAATAAATCCAAAACGGCATACGAAGGGATACAGCTTAAGCATACACAGGAAGGCTACGAGAAGAACAGGTCGTCCGTTTGAAGCGGCAGAGCAGCATCCATGCATAGCATCTTTGGTAAGCACAGGTAAACCAAAAACAAGTCCATCCAGCAAAGAAGCCTTGAAAACAAAAACGCCAAGAAGAGCCACAATACGTCCGGCAGAGTTCAAGACACCCACGGAAAAGAATTCGTCTGCACAATGAGTAGAATTTCCAACACGTCCCCGATCTTCGGTAGCAAGAGAATTGCGAGATGGAGCAAGTCAACGTATACGACAGCCAAAAAAAACCAGAGTACGTATTGCAGGTAACAGAGCAACATGGGCGCCGGCATTGCTGGATTCTATTATACAAGAGCAGAAAAACGTCACCACAGATGGCAGCCAGCACGATTGACGATAGTGACAGGAGAAGAAAACGTTCTGTTGACGGCAAGGACAGAGCAGCCATAGCAAGTAAAGATGACAAAGACGCGTAATGTTCGAGTGGCGTAAAGTGAGATGCAGCAAGCGTGAGTGATGGTGATGAAGGACGTTGAAAGATGAAGCAATGTTGAGTAATAGTGAGCAGCAAAAGGACTTTGGTAAAAAAAAAAAAGGCAAAGTAAAAAGTAAAGCAGGAAGAAGAGGGAAAAAGAAAAAAAAAGAAGAGAAAAGAAAAGCAAAACAACAGCAGTACCCCCTTGCTTCGGGTATATATACCGTCCTGGGGCCCCGAACCTTCTTCGGAAGAAGATGCTTTCCCATACATGCAGTGGTGGTAACCATGACAACCGCGGCTTTACCCCTTTCAACCCTTTTCCCATGCTTCCTTTCTTTCCTTTACTGCTTTTGCTACGCCCTTCCTTTTCCATTACTCCTCCTTTTACTTTTCGCTTCTTCTTGTTTACGTTTCCCTTTTCGTTTTCATGCTGTCACTCCGCTCGACTTGTTCTTTCTTTTTTACGTGTGCTACGTTCTTCCCTTTTCGTTCACTCTTGTCATTTTCCCACCCATTCCCTTTTCGTTACCATGGTTCCCTTTTCGTTTCCGCGTTCCCTTTTCGTTTCTACGTTCCCTTTTCGTTTCTGCGTTCCCTTTTCGTTTCTGCGTTCCCTTTTTGTTCAGCCTTGTCATTTTCCCACCCATTCCGTTTTCGTTCACTGCTTGTCATTTCCCCCCCCCCATTCCCTTTTCGTTCACTATTTGTCATTTCCCCCCGTTCCCTTTTCGTTTCTACGTTTTTCTTTTCGTAACCATGGTTCCCTTTTCGTTTCCGCGTTCCCTTTTCGTTCACTCTTGTCATTTTCCCACCCATTCCTTTTCCGTTACTATGTTCCCTTTCCGTCACTGCGGTTCCCTTTTCGTCACTCTTCCAAAAAGAGTTTGTCATTGTCATTTTGCTTTCCCCTGCTTAAACGTGTCCGACATAGATTTAAAGATATATTTTTTTAATTTGTAACTTTTAATGAAATTTGTAACTTTTTAATATTTTTGTAACTTTTATAAACATAAAAATTTCTTAAAGTGGCGGAATGGTAATGAGCAAGCCCCCCCTCTAGCCGAGACCTACTGGATTGAAGGCTAGCTTGACAGAATAAAGAAATATTATAATTTTGTTATTTATAACAAAAATTATAGATATTGATTATTCTCCTTGATCGATGGCAAGTCGTCTGCATATGCTGCTATTGCCGAATACAGCCGGATTGCGTCAATCTCTGACTCGTCAGAATTTGTCACTGACAAAATCACATGGACACCACACACAAACCATCTGTCACTTGCTATGGTCGAAACGAACGAGCGCATTCATGTACATGATTTGCGTCTCCTAGTCACCAAATTAAAAACCAGTATACAGCATAACATCAACAAACTCACCTTTAACATCGACCTCAACAACCTCCTTCAATTCCGCAACAACAAACCCATACATCTGTACGACGATTTCAACAATCGTGATATCAATTATTCATTTTTTACCGACCCAAAAAACAACCTCCGTCACCAATTCAGTCACATTCTCCAGCATATACACACGACCCCACACCTATCACGTACTTATATTCAACATATAACCAATAACAACAATACAACTTACAATCTGTCCGCCATTAAAAATTACATCACCACAGCTGAACAAATCCAACGCGATTTGTTCATGCTAAAGCACCTCACATACGGCCAAACAGCTCGGGCCACAGAGCTAGAAGGCACTTTATTACAAAACACAACACACGCAACACACAACTTGTATTGGTCAAACGAACACCAAACATTAATGCTTCTAACAACGTACCAGAAAACACATAACATTAAACAACGCGACCAAGCTATTGCCCGTTTTATCCCTCACTCTCTTATCCGCTTGTTTCTTAACTATATCACCTTCATCCGTCCCATAGAAAGGTATTTACATTTTAAAAGTCTACCATGCAATGTCTAACTCTATTTATTTCACTAGCCTCTTCATTTATGAATGCTCAAATTCCGAACAAAAAATGCTTGATACGATGGCATACTTCTTTGTGCGCAATGGCGTAAAAATGTCAGCCGACCTTCTCCGCACATATTTTCAAGCCCGCTGGCATCAACTCCTTCCTTCTCGTCTGAGTTTCCAAGATTACCGCTATGTATCAGTCGCATTTTCAAGATATCACATCCAACATTTGCTGGCTCATCATGGCTCAAATTATACAGTGGACCTGCAGGCAGGCCACTCGTCCAGAACTGCCGCACATAACTACGCACAAGCATCGACCGACTCAAAAGCACTTTCTTCAGTAGCAATAGAAGAGTATTTTATTGCTTCTGAAATGTGGCATGATTTTCTTGGTATGTTATCTGCGTCCTTATAATTTCACAACCATTCATTGATATATTCACTATTCTTCTATTACAGGTGTCGGCCCTGGGCGTCATCTCTTTCCGGGTGCTATTCCGCAGGCGGAGCAGGATAGAGTTGCTGTCCAACACGGACAATTTCTGGCAAATGTTGCTGCTGCTGAGAACGTTGCATTGCTTGAGATGCAACACCGTTTGCAAGTGCAAAATGACTTGGACAGGCGCCAGTCAACAACCACTTCGACACCACCAGCACTTCCGCAAGGTACATCCTTTTTTTCATCAACCTTACATGTGAAATCATAATTAATATTGATCTCTACATAGGCACATTCATCACACCACAGCTGCTTAACGCACTTGGTAAAGCCACCAACTCGCTGTCGCCTTCCTTCCGCTCCTTTGAACAGGCATAGCTCATTACCACCGTCATCTCCCGCAAATCTAGCATACTTGCTATCCAACCAACTGGCTCTGGTAAGTCCCTGCTATTCCTTGTCCCTGCACTAGTCGAGCCGCACTTGACAACAGTTGTTGTTGTTCCTCTCGTTGCACTTTTGGCCGATATGAAACGGCGCATTCAGCAAGCTAGGTTGTCTGTAATAGAATACACTCCCAATATTACTATACAGCACCACTTGCCCAACATCATCATCGTCCAAGTGGAACATGCCAGCAGTCAACGGTTCCTGAATATTGTCCAGCAAATAAACGACCACAATCAGCTAGCCCGAGTCGTAATTGATGAGGTGCATACAGCAATTACATGGCGTTCATTCCGTCCGGCACTTTACACACTCCTTTTCCTCCGTTCCCTCACTGTTCCGTTCCTCCTTTTATCCGCAACAATTCCACTATCATTTGAATCCGACCTACTTGACATGTTTGGCGCAAACCTTTCAATTATACGACAGCCGTCAATGCGACCAAACCTCTGTTACCAAATCATCAACACCAACAATCCGCAAGCTGCAGCAATATCACACCTCAAAGCTCAGCATTCACCATCATCATCACCATCATCAACGATCATCTACTGCTCTGCAGTAGATGCAACAACATCAATCAGTAATCGCCTCAAACAAGCATTACCACACCAAGCAAGAAAAATAGCATACTTCCATCGTAATCTTTCGGTGGAAGAAAAACATAAAAGAACCACTGCCTTCGTTTCCGGTGAGCTTCAGATCATGGTTGCAACAAGTGCATTCGGTGCTGGCATCGATTGCTCAACCATTGATACAATCATCCACCTTGGCGGCTCTGCATCAATCCTTGATTATGCACAAGAAACTGGTCGCGCTGGTCGCAATGGTTCTCCTGCTCGGTGTCTGTACTTTGTTGACGTTGAACGCCAAAAAAGACAGATACAAAGTCTCAAGAGGGTAAACCGGCATCTATCTCCGTGGCAAGCATTTAATGATGTCATTTTGGCATCAAAATGCATCCGGCAGATACTTGCAGAGTCTTTAGACTCTCAAGTTACCAACTGCTTTGGGTACGGTAATGTCGAGCTTTGCTCTTACTGCCAAAAAATCAAAGGTATATACACATTTCTTTTCAGTACTTGAATCATTAATGCTCTCAATGATACTTAAGCTTCCAACCTGCATATAGATTCTCCTCTCCCTCTGTCAACTACTATCCGCCCTTCAACTGATTGGATTATCGATCACACACCACCATCGATTGTACGTATATACAAAGTCTTCTTTGTTATTACTCTGTCAGCATTAGTACTAATCTATACACCTTTCCTTAGCCAACCCCTACTGACGCATATCTTAGTCTTTCTCGAAAGAGAAAGTATATATCGGATGCTGACAATTTTAAGTCAGTTATGATGATAGCCAAGGATCACTGTATACCTTGCTTATTCACTTTTGGCATAGCTGAAAGTGAGCATGCAACCTCTCCCCAGTGTATTGCTCATATTGGTCAATGTTTCTGTTGTTTTGGTGACCACTATGTATCGAATCCTGCATGTGTCAAGCCAGTAAGGGATGGCTTCTGTAAGAAATGCCTTGTGCCTAATCAGTGGAACCAAACCATCTTCCATGATGGTAACTGGTCAAACTGCAGTGGTACGTATGAGGACCTCTTATACCGTCTCTACTGGGCAGCCTATCGGCGTAAGCCCCAATTTATCTGCCAAGCTGGCTACAACAAAAACCACCTTACGGCAATCGAAATACAACAAGACTTTGCCTATTGGCTTATAGCTGCTGGCCCCCACACATATCCAAATAATGCCATGTATTTAGGCCATATAATTTTATCACACTTCTTCATCACATAGAACCTTTACCTCTCTTCTCTCCTCTTCTCGATTTTTTATATATACTATTATTATATCTTCTTCTCTGCTTTCCTTTTTATCTTTTATCTTAGATCTCTCTTGTCTCTTTTGTCTTGTATCCCTTTCTCTCTTTTTGACTCTTATCCCTTTCTATTCTTATATTCTCAAATATATTTTATATAATACTAAGACTCATCTTCCTAAGTCTGTCCGAAAATCTCAATTGCTCGAAATGTTTCCACCCCGTCGTGCACTATGAGTGTGTGAGGATGGATCAGTCGTTGACCAGACTGGGCACTGATGACAGTCGTTTGATCATAATGTTGCTGATAGAAGCTGATGAGCAGGTTTAAGCGATCACCTAGCAGCCGTGTTGTTTTTCCACTTGTCATGGAAGTGATCGTGTCAGGGGGCAACGGCTCGCTACCGTCCACGTCGATACCCATGTCTAAGGATAATTGGATGAAAGCGTACGGGTCGAATGGCGTGTCATTGTTGGTGTATGAGAC